GAATTCTAAGTCCTAAAGTCTCAAAAGCACAGATATAAAAATAGACATGTCCTCGATTTCTGCATCTCACTGCATGGCTACTTCATCAAAAGGATTGCTTCAACCTCGTAATACCAGCCCAGCCCCAGACTACCTTACTTTATTTAAGCTAGCCTGTCCCAAACTCCTGAATCCTTTCCCCCAAACACCCCTCCAAAAAGCTACCTCTAAAAGTGACTTTTAATATAAAAAAACAGAAACCTTTTAACTCAGTCCTTCGATACTTCCCTAGACTTCAAGGTTCCCGTAAGTTGGAGGATGCCTCCAGGTCCCTAGGGGACAAAATAGTATCCAAATTTCAAAGACGAATGCAATCGTTTGGAGGCTCACCAAGGTCAATTCTACCCTTAAGAAGATTCACAAGTCCCACAAGAGGTCCCACCCCATGGACTATGGCCTTAGTGTATATGAAAGGCTTTGCTTCCTTTACAGAGAAAGGAAATGATGAACAAGCACAGGTATGCATCACTAACCCTGAGGCAGGAAGAGAAGAGCAAAGGGCCAGAAGCGGTGAGGTGATGGGAACCCCGCTGTGCATACAATTGAGTTTTCTGGCTATGTCCTGGAAAACACTAGACTGGAAGGTCCCCGGTGTGTGTCACTTTTACTAGGGCCGTCCTATGAATGTGTAAGTGCGTATTGCCAGAATTGTGTATTCAGCTTGCATACAAAAAACTGTTAGTATTTTGTTCTACACAGACTGGGGCTAATGTCTTTTATTAAACATGAGCTCACTTGAGGGCAAGAACTTCTATTTTTATTGTGATTTCCTACAACCACTTGGTAGAATGGACTCTATCCATAAGTGTCCCCAGTTGCTGCTGAAGGCTGCTGTGAACATTTCAAATGTGCATAGATGCCTTTTGTGACAGTTAATCACCGGCTTTCTCCTCAAGAGGTCAGAAACATACCTGCTTCCCGTTAACACTGTTTACTATAAAATTCAGAGGCATAGGTATCCAAGTGGGTTCAGAGTAAACAAAAGGGCCTTCATATCACAAGACATTTCTAAGTCAATCACGTGGCACAGACATCCCACATGAGCTTGTCACTGGATTGACTGTAACAAGGAATGTGTCTTGCTCTCTGCTTTTCTGCCCGGCAGAGCATGGAGCCTGTAAGGGAGCAGTGGCCCTGGACACAGGCTCCAGGGTACCAGACAGAACTTTACATAGGTAGCTACATTATGCAGGAGGCTGATTCTTATTTTCTAAAATACAAGGGCTAAGAATCCATGGAGCCAGTCAGAAATTCCTCCCAGTGAAACATGTCGATGACGTCGTCAGTCTTGGTACACATGCCACTATCCAACCTTTATTACTATTTAGAAGCATTATTATGCTGGAATCAGCATGGTCCTGGCTGGCCACAGTATCACATCAATAGTGCAAAATGTATACTGGCTTCTAAAATCTTGTTTTACTTGAATATGGACCCCAGAGTATCATAACCAGGTAGATAAGTTCACAAGAAGAGTTTTTAAAAATGCATATAGTTTGCATATACAACAACTGGCTATTTTTCTAGCTCAAGAAACACTGAAAACAAGGCTGGCGCTGCTAGTAGCATCAGAACAGAGATGTTCTCGCCCCCTGCGCTACAATGGGGGCTCTAGGCCTTTACATTTCCTCTTGACTCTGGAGAGCGAGGGATTCCTTAGAAGTAGCTAAAAAAGAACTCCCCTCTAATTCGTAGATCATGGAAATGCAAATGCTCACCTCATCTACTTTACACTATCTGCCCATAGTTTTTAGGCACAATTATTAAGTTTTCTCCTAGGGGCAAAAGAAAGCATTCAGTGCAATAAAAAAGATTCTTGACAGCGTTAAGTCTCAGTAACAACAGCAAAATTATGCATACATAATACATACTTTGAACATGGATAAAACCTAAAATTTTAACATGCTTTAAAAATAGTCACTCTATGCCTAATGTAAATACAAAAGGAGAACACTGCAGATGAGTGAACAGGCTTCGAGCTGAGTATACTGGATTATGTAAGAAAGTCACTCATGCTGACCCAGACGTGGAGGGACTGGAGGGACCAAGGCTCCTTTGGAGAGGCCGATGCTCCTTTGAGGGGAAGAAAGGTCCCGTGATCAGCACGACTCCTCTGCGAAGCCCTGTGCAGTTCACAGTCTTCTCAGATTTCCCAGGTGGGCCCCAGAGGACCACGCTCCATCAAAACTCTTGAACCTCTTTAGAGGAGACTTAGCTACATGAAGGTTAAAATTATAATTTTTAATTACTGAATATTATTCAGAATATGATGCTTCTGGGAACTAAGTTCCTCATGAATGATTATATAAAACCACCAACTACTTCAGCTCTTCACAGCATGAGCACAGCAGCTGCAAAGATCAACACTGGTTTGGCTGTGGGTACCCTCTGTCCCACGCTTGCCTTTACTAGACCTTCCCTGAAAGAGATAAATAAAAACCTAACAGTAAAGTACTTTGGGACAGCAACAGTTTCTTTTTAAGACTTCCAAGAGCAAAGCAGTTAGTCTGTAAAGACTGTGTAGTGCTTTAAAAGGTGCGTGACTCATGTTGTTCAATCAGTTCATGAAGTATAAAACTATACACCACGGAACCCTGTTCCTAAAACATTGAAGTCCTAAGAAAAGATAAATTACAATGATTGCTACAGCGTGAGAAAGGTGCACCAGGAACTCCTTCAGAAACTGCTGAAGGATGCAGAAGTGCTGGGGCCGATCAGAGGCTTCACCAGGGAAGTCCCAGAGAAATTCATGCGGGAAGAGGGCTGGGGACACTTCACAAGATCTTCTTCCTAAGTCAACCAAGAAGAGATATTCATCCTTCAGAACACTCAGTAGGCAAAGGTTTCCTCTCTAGTGAGCTTTGTATGGCGGCATCACAGTCTTCATTCTGGGGCTTTTTGCGATGCAGATCCCGCCCTGCTGGAGGCTGTGCTACGCTGTCCTGGGCAAGCAGAGGCAGTGGTCAGTACCGGTGGGCCTGGTGAGACGGGTGGTACTGCGTGCTCTGCTGAGATGAGGCGTAGCCCAGTGTGCTCTGGGACTGGGAAGACCCTTGAACGCTGCTTTGGTAATTCAGGCGAGAACTGGAGTGCTAGAAAAACCAGGAGAGTGGGGGTTACTGACTGCAGGGAGGGGCTCTGTCCAACCACAGCAGGACAGAGAGGTTCCTGACTGCGATCCACAACAGTTGATATGGTCTGCTTATCTGAAACAACAGCCTGCTTAGACTGTAGCTACCCTGGTTGGTGTTGAATCTGGTTGTGCAGTGGGGAGGGTAAGCTATACTGGTAAAGAAAAGCAGACAAATTTAACCTTTTAAATGATTAAGATTTGACAATGAAACAATTAATTTAGTAAACGAAAAAATGGCATCCATAAGATATAACTGCATACTGTTAATTCTCACTTTCATAATTGGTTGGGACTGGGAAATCACTCTAAGGCAGAGTTTTTGGAGGCAGAAGCTAGGGACATAGAGAACCTGCCAATGAGCAAACCAGCAAGGTTGACAGGGCAGGCTAGCAGTAGGGAGGTATTATAAATGTCAGGTAACATTCAAAACCAAACATTCTCACCAATAAATCTTATTTCCCATCTAAAAATTAAACAAAGCAATTTGTTACACGACTGGCCTCAAGAGACCAGTCTTCAGAGACAGTATAACACTGTGCTTATACAACTTTTTAAAGACAATATTTTCTTTGTCAATATGAAAAAAAATGCATCTCTCTCTCTCTCTCTCTCTCTCTCTCTCTGTGTGTGTGTGTGTGTGTGTGTGTGTGTGTGTGTGTGTGTGTTTAAGGAAGGGCTGTCCTAGAACTCACTATGGAGGCCAGGCTGGCCCTGGAACTCTCCACAACCTCTCTGCCTCAGTCTCTCGAGTGCTGAGGTCCCAGGGTGAGCCACCATACCATGCTCTTCCTTCTGAAGTAATAACCACATTTGCTTATACTGAAACAGCCCAAAACCTCACCCATGGAAACTGACAGAGTTTCCTCACAGAACAGTCCAATCTGAACACAAGGTAAAAGTAACTCAGAATCGAATACAAGAAAACAGAACACGATATGCTTTAAGACAGTGTGCTCAAACAACCCTAGAGGTTTCACTCCCTATAAATCCTAGAACCAGATGTGAGAAGTCTTTTCCCTTTAGTTTCCTTAATTAGTGGTACAGCCATAATTTCCTTTCTGTCTGAACACAAGAAGCATATCTAGAGTTAACACAATTTCAGCAGGACTTGCTTCTGAGAACTGTTGCTTAGCCTTCGTCATTTCTCAAGTCTACATGGCTACCGACTGACTATTCCCTCCAGTAAGAGCAATCATTCTCAAGATTTGTCTCTACTCTAAGTGTTGTTGAATTTGTCCAAGAAGACACTTACCTAAGCTGTGGCCACTACGGATAGGATACAGTTCTGGTATTTTGTTAAGGAGCCTCCCACCTCCCTCCCTCCTCTCCTTGGGGCGTTAAGATAAACAAGTCACAATACAAAATATCTCACAATTGCATGAAATGTTATTAAAAATCTTCCCTTCCATGTAATGCCAGAAACATAAACATCTAGTTTTTAGGTCAGATTCTGGAGCTAAGAACTATATAACTTTAAGAGAATTGGTTAAAAGTCAATTTCCCATTTCATAAAGTATCTTCATACCAAAAAGGAGTAGTCATGGAGTACCTGATAATCTGGTGGCATAACCGGCCCGCCCGAGCTTGCACCCGAAGGCCCAATGCGAGGCTTCTTGTTTGGAGGCACCTGGGTCAGGCCGGAGTCCTGGCTGTGCTGCAGTCCTGCTCCAGCGCCAGCCCCGCCGGCCGTGGCTCCCCCTGCTGTCCCATTGGTTTGGGCACTGCTCTGCTGTGGTGGAGGAGCCTGGGGAGGGGCTGTCGTCTGCTGTGGGGGGGCCGTGGGCTGCTGATGCGGATTCTGCTGCTGTGTCTGATTCTTTAAGAGGAGACGGGAGGGGGAGAAAGATTCGAGATTTATTGTTAAGTCAGACAAATGGAAAATGCACTTCACTACTTGATACACATGTGTGACTGGTGATACACCTGGGATATAACCTGGTCACATGATTTCACTACTTGATATACATGTGACTGGTGACACACCTGGGGTATAAACTGGTCACATGGGGTGACTGGAAAGAATGGAGATGGGTAACCGCCAAAATACATCATTCCCAAAGACTAACATAGTGAGCCCTGAATAGCACTGTGTAGCATCTCCAAATGAAACCAGAGCAGTGCGGAGTGGCTAATATTCCCAGTTAGCATAAAGGAATGGAGTAAGGCCCACGAAAGCAAAGCAGGGTGGAGACGGCACTGGACAAATAAAATGAGCAAAAACTAGGAATAAATGGGCTACTAAGATAAAACAGGAAGTTCGATTTAAACTTCAAAGTACACCTTCAGTCTCCAGACTCCCACAAAGAACAACATAAACATGCTAGATGAAAGGTGGGTAAAGGCAGAGACCATCAAATCATGCCCCTCAATTATCCTTTTGTGGCTCTTCCGCTCTGAAAGTCAGTGGTGCACGGAGCTTTTACCTTGTCGCCCTTCTCTTCTGGTTCATCTTCATTAAGGAATTCTCTTTTGGGGTATGGAATCTGGCAGCCAGCAAACACACTAACCATTTAAAAAGAAATACATGTTAGCCAGGCAGAGACAGATGGATCTCTGTGAGTTCAAGGCCAGCCTGGTCTACGAGTGAGTTCCAGGACAGGCTCCAAAGCAACAAAGAAACCCTGCCTCGAAAAACAAAAAAACAAAAACAAAAACAAAACAAAACAAGAAATACCTAAAATGTGTAACTTTATCACCTTACTTTAAAATTAAAAATTCACTTTTTTCTTTCTTAACATGCATCCTATACTTTACCATGACTGGTGTTTGCTGGACACCTTCCGAACAACTTAACTAAAGCAGTAAGGAAGGAGTAAGTCAGCAGCTGCCCCTCCTGCAGACTGCCACCTCACTGCTGGACTGCTGCTGGCAGGCTCACAGTACAACACACAACTTTGTCTGCACTACTCACTCCATCAGCCCCAAACTAAACTGACTTTGTTTTGCTTGAACATGAAAATAAATTTCCCTTTCAGGAAAAAACAAAGTTTTCTAATATCTACAAGCCCAGAGCACGAGCTTGGAAAGGGGGAATGGGCCTGCAGGCTGTCCTGTGCACCCATGGTTATGGGTGTGGCTTGTGCCTGAGCTGAGTCTGTTCTCTTCTGGCTTTCATCTAGGAAGCTGGTGTGGGCCTTTCCCTGAGGAGATGTTCTCTGTGCAGTCTTCACGAGCAAAGCAGAACAAGTCAGGGAAGTGTTCCCCTGGCATTCAGCAGCATACAACACCATCCAGTTGGAGTGAAGACCATGGAGAAGAAAGGGTACATACTCTAGCGTGGGCAAGGGGTCCTCCTGAAAGTAAGGGTCCTGCAGAGCCTGCTCTGAGGTGATCCTCTTCGTTGGATCCATGGTAAGGAGTTTCTGAAGCTAGAGCAACAAATAAGAAATGTGACAGCCCATGAGAAGACTGCTGACTTTTGTATCAATGTCTGACACAATGGACCTCAAATACATCTTTTACACACTGATGCACACACGCATGTGTGTTTAGAGTAAACTCTTCCACATGGGGTCCAGGGATTGTGGATCAAAGAAAGTTGTCAAAGCTTGGCCCTTACCTATGAGTCTTCTTGCTAGCCCTCATATCTTCTTGCCCTGCTCACTGTACAATTAGTAGACTATTTACATATTTATGAAATTACCATTAAGGTCCCTTAAAATTCTTTTTTCTGATATGAACCATTTAAGAAACTAAGACTAGAAGTCAAAGATGATTCTCAATAGAATAAGATTTAATTTCTCAAGCATCCAGCAATTAGTGTCTCTGTCTCTCTCTCTCTCTCCCCCCCATTCTCCTTTTCATAGTCCCTCCCCTCCATCTCCCTCTCCTTCCTTTTCAAAGGAAAAGACTAGCTGGGACAATTCTGCAGTAGACAGGAGGAGAGGGGCTGACCAGGTACTAGCGGGGAGAGAGCACTAAGCTTTCCCCCAGTAAGGAGTGATTGAAGCCCCCTTCCTTAAGAGGGGGCAGCCTGAGGGTTTAACTGCTGCTCAGAGACTGAACTGGTATCTGATAACAGCAATGTCATTGGACTCTAACCCATCAAAAAAGCCTTTCTTGTCTTTTGATTAATATGGATTATTAATCAATATTAATTAAATAGAAGATTGTGATATGTTAAATTGTAGATTTATTGATAATTTCCACTCTAGAATTATGGCATTAACCTGATAATGTTTGTAACGGCTTATAAGGTGTTGAAAAAGGTTTGACGGGTCCTATAAATGTTTGTATTTAATTGTGGATTTATTGTTAATTATGATATTGACCTGGTAATATTTGTAACTGCTTTTAAGATGTTGAGAAAAATTTGACACGCCCTGTAAATGTTTGGTTTAATGCATATGTTAAGAATTTTAGATTTTGATACAATATAAGCTGCTCTGAACCAGTCGAAGAAACATTTTTAACTCAAGTGATCCTCCTCTCATTTAAATAGGAGACTATAGTCTTTAGGAGCATGGTTATTCATGTAACATTATGATTTCTCCTGACAAAACAGTATGGCTCCAAGATAGAGCCCAAAGGTATCTCTCTTCCTTAATTTCTTTTCTTCACAGACGTAGAGATGGGTTTGAAGCTTCTCCTCCCCAGGTGCCTAAGGCAGGAGCTCACATAATTAAGATTCCTGTTTCCAACGACGGGTAAATTTGGGTAAATGGAGAAGTCTTTGCCTAAGGCAGATGTGATAATCTGTCCTATGCTGAAGCACAGGTTTTATTAAAATTAGTAAGAGGGAGTGGATTGTAGGGGCATATTACGCAGGCCCATATTTCTACACTGTATGGCGGCCAGGATTTCAGACCACAGTCTGCACCTGCCACACAGGAGGTGGTCACCTAGCCTTTCCAGACAAACTGACAGCATCCTAGACAAAGGGTCAGGATATGCTAATGGTGCTCTGCTCCTTCTTTGTAAATTTGGGAGGATGCCTGGGAAAGAGATGTTAACTCAGTCTACATGACAGAGCAGTCATAGATAGGAAGATGTGACAAAATGAGCATAGAAAGGTGAGGATGTGACCACAGTCAATCTCCCGGCTACCTAGGAAACAGAATGCTAATGAATTTCACCCTCAGATTACATTTTGGCATAAAAGCTGTTTGGAGAGTAAACGCGGGTGAATTTTCAGTGTGTGAACTCCGGATTTCATGAGGGACCCCTAAAAACTCCCGATAAAGTCATGTGAGTTGTGCCTCAATAACTCCCATGCCTCCCCTCTGGTCTGAGAAAAAATTTATGTAGGGGCTGGACCCTGATACAGGAGGAACACCCTGCTGTCAGTGGGAAGAACCTACCAGGAGGAACACCTTGCTGTCAGGCTTGACCTTGTGTTTCTCCATGTACTTTATGAGGCTACTGTTGGCGTACCTGCAAGGATAGGAGCATACATGATTTGCATTCCTAAAGGACAGTTCTAAGGCAGGTTTCTATGTGCAAACACATTACTTAATACCAACACATTATGAAAAAAACAGTTGTTAAACACGACATGTCAGAGTTTTTAGTGCTATAGACACTTTGGGAATGCTTATGTGTAACCATTAGAGCGGAAAAATACTTCTGTCTTGAAACCCAGCAATGGCTCTGAGGCATGCTCCCCTTTAAGAGAAGGCTTGCTTGGTGTCTGCTTGGTACTGGAGATAGTGAGTAGGTCATGCACGTTAGGCAAGTGCTCTCCAGCAAACATCATCTTCCTACACCTTTCTCTTTTTATTTTGAGACAGGTCTCACCAAGTTGTACAGACCTTGAACCCACCCTTCTGTCTCAGCCTCCTGAGCAGCTAGGGTCACAGGCCTTTATTATCAGGCCTAGCCTAGAGACACTTAAACATGAGTATCAGAACATACAACAATACTCTTACTAGCATTTCTACAATATAAAACAAACAAACAACAACAAAACCCCACCAATCTCCAACCTATAAACAGCCAAATATCCACCAATTAAAGAAACAGAAATATTAGGCAAACGAACTGTTAATATATTCAGAGTAAATGAAATGTTATAAATATGCAAAACTGAATAGGGAAGATGAATGACAGCATTTACATAAAGCTCAAAGACATATCAAACTAAATAAATATCAGAGATAAAACTGTGGGATTACAAACACAAATCCCGAGTCCCCAGTCTTCCTTCTAGGAGGGAACAACAGAGAGGTACCCAGAAACATCAGCACACTAAGTAACATCCTACTTCTTAGGCAAAGAGGTGAGTGGAGAGATAGTCATTCGATTATTCTCAGTATACAATATTTCTATTATTTCCTATGTTTGAAATATTTAAAATGTAAATGGTCTCAAAACACACACACACACACACACACACACACACACCATTGTCAGTGTTTGGATAATCTCCCTTTCTGTCTTTTATTTATTTTTGAAGCAGAATCAGTGCTTCTTAAAACTGTTTAAATAGGCCAGGTGGTCGTGGTACATGCCTTTAATCCAGGCACTCAGGAGGCAGAGGCGTGGGCAGATCTCTGTTAGAGGCCAGCCTGGTCTACATAGTAAGTTACAGGTCAGCCAAAGCTACATAGAGAAACCTTGTCTCAAAAATCAGCCAAAACAAAAACCCCAAACCACAGAAGTGTTATAGAGAGAGGCGCTGGGGAAAGAGCCAGATGGCTCTCAGAGGGCCTTTGCTTTATGTTTCTATCCACAGGCTCACAGTGAAACCAGGGGGATCTTTTGGTTGTGGCTTTATAAAATCAGAACCAGTATAAAAATTCTATGTTTTCACATTTAATGTTGTCTAATTAATATCTCCTTTATCAAAAATTCTATAAAATTATTCTGAGTAACAACAGTGTCTACTGATCCAGAGCTGTTTCATCACAGCTATGAAATGTATGTCATTATGGGCTAACTTGACACACATGCCAAGGATATAATACTGCATGAGAATCGGGGACTGCTACTAGACCCTGGCTTGGTTATTTCTCTATCGTGTGCTTGTACCAGCCTGCTTTTCATAGGATAAATGCTTGGGATAATCAGGTCAGACGCCCTTGTACCAGTTTGGTCTTCACAGGATAAATGCTTGGGATGATTGGGTCAGATGTGCACATTTTGAAGGATCTTTGTTGGTGTTGTATTGCTGTGGGTCTTTTGTTTTTCCTTGACAAATTACTAGGGAATCAAACTCGGGCCTCACACATGTTAGGTAAGCATTACCACTGAGCTACAGATTCCTAGCAACCAGAACACATTATTTTTGATTTTTAAATTTGTGTTTATTTTATGAGTACAAACGGGTATTTTGTGTGTGTGTGTGTGTGTGCACACTACATGCAAATAGTGACTTGAGAGGCCAGAAGAGGGTGTTGGGTCCATTGGAATTGAAGTTACAGATAGATGGTTGTAAGCCCCCATGTGGGTGCTGAGAACCTAACCAGGCTCCTCTGTA